CTAATCCTAACCTTTACCAAAACCTTTTTCTCTCTGTACCTCAAACCTAACCAGTGGAGCACAGCCCAATTGAACAAAATAAACATCAGGTCATTCAGTTTCCACAAATGACCTGCCTTTGTTGGTGAAAATGGTCCTCTATATGTAGTACACACAAACCCAGAGGACACCCCTTCCACCTTTTTCCCACACACACACACACACACACACACACACACACACACACACACACACACCACACACACACACACACACACCCACACACACACACACACACACACACACACACACACACACACACACACACACACACACACACACACACAAGTCCACGCACAAACAACAGGCTTAGAAAGAAGCATAGCATAAAGAGACACATTTTTATCAGCTCTGGGTCTGGTGGACCCAAACACCCTGAAAGTAATGTAAATGTGTATGGACATTTTATAGTGGGTGGTCATCAAGCTTTTTTTTTTCTGATTTATGTTCTTCACAGAAAATGACCAAAGGCCAATGAGTCCCAGTTTGAAAAATTAATTACTTCGATTTGCTTTGCTACAATAAAAAGTGAAAATAGGTCCCACTGACCTGAACATCTAACAAGGGGTAAAATACAAGAAAAAACATTTTGCTTATTTTGCTTGCTTTTTCTGAGAAAACGCTTCACAGAGGCAAAATGAACTGAGGAATAAACCTGAGCTCTGAAATGTGTGAAATCTTATGCCATAATTACATAATAGCTGCAAAAGGCCATTTAAAAATACTTTTAGCAAGCATAATTAAAAGTATGAATTAGGAAGCCTTAATTCTGCAAGTGATATCTGCAGATTCCTTCACATACAGGGGGGATAAATGATTATTCAAATTTAATAAATCTAAGAGAAAATGACACCCAAACTTCAGACTTCATAACAGATTATTTCAACATACCAAAATACAAATGAATGAAACAAAATGAGGGGATATTAACACAATGGACAGCAGCCTTCAAAGAAAAAATGGAAAGACTACAGCTTGTTGGGAATTTAAAAATTATTTTCATAGAAGTGCAAAAAGTGCGAGTGTGGGAGCAATCTGGCGCACTGACTGTACAAAAGGAGCGACGTGGCACAGACAAGACAGAGAGACTGGTTCTTCACTTAATAGCTGCCACAGAGCCTGCTGGAGAAAGCTGGGAGCTTCATTAAGCCTTTAAACCCTGCAGAGACGTTTTAAGTCATCACGCCACTGGCTGCTGCATCCTCAGACATTCCCAGAGGCAACAAGGCAAATATGGAGTTCACAGATGAGATTCCAGAACGATCTGTACAAGTAAGTTTCATGAAGACTGTTTTTGAAAACAACAGCATGCTAAGAAATTTAATACTGACTTTTATTTATGAGGCCATATGCCATCTATTTCTCTCAGCTACACTGGGAAAATGTTTTTGCATTTTACAAAATGTCTCTTTTAAATTAATATTTTAATCTGAACGAAGGAAACAAAATTTGTTTTCAAATCATCTTGGGAGTTGCACATTTATTAAGGCTTCTAGCGATCTGATTTCAAAATTTAAACTCTAAACAGGTTTATAGTGATGAGGAAAGTCATAAGGAAGTACATGAGGCCTATTGTGAGTGTGAGGCTTCTCCTTGCTTCTTTGAGTAAATGACTTGACAGTCGTTTACTGTTCAGATTCATAAAAACAATGAACTTGTAAATTTAAAAAAAATGCATTTGGAGTTAACCCAGATACTCCTGGAAATGTTTGCTGTGGAGTTTGGCTTAGCTCAAAGTAATAAACTCGAGATACTGTCAGGATTTGCTGAGTAAGAAGTTCAATAACACTGAGCCAACAAGCATTAAAATATTATTTATTTCAAGTCAAGAACATTGGCAGTGAATTTTTGATGTAATTAAAAAGTAATGCACCATAAATGTTATTTTGAGAAACCAAGCTTTACAGTTATAATGGGTTTTTTTTAACTATTATGATTGAGTGCTATATATAGATCCTAGTGCACCTATTTCTCATGAAGGAAGAATCATCATGAGCAGTCCCACTGCACATTACCATTTTGCTCTGCAAGAATCATTTTTCATGCCAAACGTAAGTAGTTGGTAAACAGTGACACATTGTGAAATTGCCATCAGCTATGATACACAAAAGTAATACCTTATAAGTTTTGAAGTCAAGAAATCTTTGGTTTTAATTACTCTTTTTAGGAAAAGCAGCGTTTTCGAAATAGTCAAGAAAGATTTTGTATTGAAAAATCCCATTCAAGGTGGGTGAAAACACCAACCTGAGCAGGACATACTCTCAATACATGGTGAAATCATTGTCACTCCATTTTACACATATGGCCAATTAAACCATAAGTGTAGAAAAAAAGAGAACATTGGTTTAATTTCCAGAAAAGCCAGACTATATACAGTTGTCAAACTGTGGACTTGACTGGGATATAATATGCATGAACTAATTAACTTTTAGTTTCTTTTTTTTAACCAATCTTTCTTATGACGTTTTTTTTTTTTTTTTTCCTTACTTCTTTCTTCTCCAATAAAGCTGACCAGGCATTACAAGAGACTCCTCTGTGGGCAGTTCTGAAAGGATCCCTCATCGCCCTGCCAAAGAGGACAGCGGCCCTTTGATCTAGTCGTCCTTCAATATGTGCGTGTGCATGCGTGTGTGTATGAGGGGCACAGTGTGTTTTCTCATTTGGCCTTTGCAGAATCGGTTCACTCGAAGCATGCCCTGACTTCTTCCAAGTCAAACCGATCTTTGCATTGTCCAGAAAATCTGGCATAATGCACCATGGCAACTGTTCCATTTAACAGGCTCTTTATATCTTAGTACTGCAAGCCTAATCATGCCGAGTACCTCATGTGTCACTCATATTACCACCATCACAAAGCATACTGCCTTTCTATTAAATGTATTTTAGGAAAAAGCAAATAAAATTTGCATTACACTGTTGTTCATCAACTAGCTAATTATGCATGGTTTGTATGTTGGACTTCTTGTATCAAAGGTCGCTCAGCGTGAACGGCCATGCAGAGAGAGAAAAAAAAAAAAACAAGGCCTCTGGAGTGACAGGGGACCGGCCTTGCTGTCAGTCGAGGTCAGTCGTATCTTCCCTATCTGTTTAGAACCACCATTCAAAACAAGCTCAACATGTGTCTGCACACTATCACCCTCATGCATCCCCGCCTCCAAAATCCCCTTCCTCCACTTCCTGCACAGCAAACGTGCCTAACATTCTGGAGAAGCCGGCGTACATTCCTCACATGCTTCAGCTGCATAAAGAAATGGTCGAGAAGCCAACAGAGATGTCACAAGGGCATCAGTCCTTTCTCAAATGCAGGACAACCTTGTGTGCCTCAGAGTCCTAGTCGTTGTCCTTTTACGTATGTGCATGGGAGTGAGGTCACTTGCGGAATGAGCAGCCTAGGTTTTGAGTGGTGCACTCAAGGTTAGGAGAGCTGGAGGCCATCTCAAGTGACCGCGGTTGAGCTGTCTCACATAGGATGAAGAGGCATTACCTTAAAAAGAGCATCAAGGCATCATTGGCCCACTGCATCATTTAATCTCCCTCCACAGGTTCATGTATGCTTCATCTGAGGCATTTTTTAAGGTACATTCCAATTAACTTTCATGAATGTTTATATAGCCAATCACATAATGTCACCCTGATTAAATCAATCCTGTACATCAGCAAGGACGTTTAAGGATCACCACAGGTTGTTGCGTATGTGTGATTGCGAACTCAAAAACGTAAAGCCATTTTTAGCTTACAGGACCTCTCAATATGTCAAACTTCAGTGCCAGCAATTGCTCATCAAACATCTTTACCAGACACACATTTCAGACACCCCCGGCTCCTCTTCCAACAACAGTAGCAATACTGGTGAAGAAAAAGGGGGCTTCCTGAGCTTCGGAGGAGCAGCATATTAACTCAGCTTGGCAGGCAGTAAGTGTGACAGTAGTTGTGTTGGATGCCAATAGGACAGGCATTGCACAGCATCTCAATGACTTAAACTCACAGAGTCCACAGAGGGGGCTTATGATCCTCCCAGGCCATACCGCTCCCACCGCTATTCTCCATCCAACCACAAAGGCATTCAGGCTTTTCATTTGGATGATAATGGCCCAAAAGCCGGAAAGGGCCCCTTATGTCTGCACACCATAAGTTGTGCTGAATGCCTTTGTGGCAGTGTCATGCATGTTCACGGGAGCAAAGTGGGATGCTTCATGCCAACAAAGACAGTTAAAGTCGGAAGAAACAAAAAATAAATGTGTTGATTGATCAGAGGAAGTTCCTGAGACAAGGTAGATTTAGACAAGTGCTAACAACCTCTCCATCACAATCCCACTTGTAACATTGTGACCAAAGAGCGAACAAAGTCAGAATAGAAAATATTAAATAACATCCACCCAAAGTAGAGATGTAGCAATTAGTCGTCCCACTATTGGAAATTGACAATTTCTCCCATTCTCTGATCAGTAATAATCAAGTCAGTTACTGAACAATGTGCATCCATCTCCCACCAAAAACCAAACAGGTGTACTTTGATGCACTTTCGAGTTTTAATACAAATCAGATAAAGTTTACGTACATAAGCTTTGATGAATAAACTGTGAATCCTGTAATTCCTTCATTTCCTGTTTGATTCAAAATTTTGCCTACAAGAAGGAAACTGTAACCCTTTTATAAACTTTGTAGTCCATATAATTTAGATAGTCTGAATCAGAAAGTCAAATTTCTACAACAAACAAGAATGAAAATCAGCAGCTGCCAAAAACTTGACCAGTGCATCTGTAATCTAAAGTAGAATTTATTTTTTCAAAGAAGCACTGTTTGTAGAGCAACTTCAGTCGACTGAGAAATCAACAGAATAATGTCTTAGGCTTAGATACAGGTTAACAACCAGTTATAAGCACTGCAGAATTAATCACATGATAAAAATGAATCCTCAACAGGTTTTGGTGTGAGCAGAAATACAATATGTAAAAATTTACCTGCATAAAAACGTAACAGGGAGCCGATTTCTGTGTTGAGTCCTTCCTCTTGAACTCTCCAAGGGTCCTTAAATCCAAGCTTAAACAGAAATTCATTCTGGATCTGCAGAGGCCTCTCATCTGGACTAAGCCTCCTCACAGCCTCACCATGAAGCTGAACATACAGTGTGGGGCTGGTATCACTACAATCTCCATTTTGGAGTGCTGTCGGCTCCTCTTTCACAGCATCTTGACCACAGTCTTGAATGCCAGGTGTAATATCTGTGGAGCAGAATCTTGACAATGAGCCGGCACTACTGCTGGGTGGCAGGCTGCCCAAACTGTGTGAGTTCAGTCTGCTATCAGGGCCCACGTTTTTCGTCATGTCATTTAAATGTCCCATGCTGCGCTCCGTGTAGCTGGCAGTGACAGCTGAGATGCCATTGCTGTGGTCAATGCCTGACCCGGACACTGGACAATCGAGCTCCAGCTCGTCTGAGGAACTTCCATACATGTCGTGGCCCTCTGTGGCACTGTCAAATGAGGGGCTGAGGATGGATGCTTCTGTTCCCAGGATCATGTCATCACTCAGGGAGTCTCTGTGCTCACTGAGGCGGGCCCCTGAGCTCAGGTCATCAAACGCACTGCTCTCCACATCTGAGCCAGAGTTTAATCCGTAGCTGTCCACGCCATTCCTATGCTCCGAATCGTCATCATTATGGATATCCAAATTGGAGTTCAGGTCTGACAGCGAGCAGGTTATGTTATCCTGTGACTCTGATTCGGGGGTGAAAAGTTTCCCATCAACTTCCTGTTGCTTTTGCCTGTCATCTGCATTCTCCATAAGCAGCAGCCTCAATCTGTCACCCGGGTGCCCACTCACTTCTGCAGATCCTAAGGAAGTCTGCTGGCTGCACTTTCTTAGTGACCCGTCTTTCGTATGAAAGGAATCGTCATTGAATTCACACTTCACATTGCAGTTGCCATTTTGGTCAGTCTTGGAGGTATCTTTACAAAATATGCGCATCACCGAGCTCGACTTGCTGCAGAGTTTACTCAGTCGGAGCGCCACCTCGCCGGCAGTGTTATCCATAGTGCAAAGGACTGGCCTGGGATATGAGGACGTCAGCCTATCGTGTACGTGAATGCAGCCCCGGTGCAAATCCGCTCTCACCCACTCGCGATCCGCTGGCTGCAGCTGCAGGTTCAGGCGGTGCTTCAGCAGGGTCTTCCTGTCCAGGCTCCGGGTGTGAAGGGACGCGGAGGACAGGGCCGAGCTCATCTTCGCGGTGACAGCTGAGCTGGCGGCGGGAGTTGTTGCTGCAGCTGCGGCGGAGAGGTTCCTCTTCAAGCGCCGCCGTCTCAACAGGAGGGAGCTGGAGTTACTGGACGAGCTCCGGCCATTAGACGCCACGGCCCGGTTTGACGCACTAGTCGCCGGCATGGAGGCGGAATGAGATAGGCTATTCCTGTTCTTCGTCTCAGCGCGGGAGGGTGCCGACCGTCTACCGCCATCATCCACTGGAGTCCCCCGGGCGACAGACGGCCCGCCGGGCTTCTTCATTAACTTGGTCGCGTCTCCATCTGACGGCGCATCCTCGGCGACAGCCTGCACACTTTCCATCTCTGTCAGAGAAAAGTACCCCCACTCTCAATAAATAGCGGTGCGCAGTGGGTTATTCCTGAAACCCCCTACATTTAAAAGCCTTAAAATGTTCCCAGCGTGATAAATGTCCGCCAAGTAGGCGGCGTTGCCGAGTTATGTCCTTAGTTGTCATTCACTTCTCGCCGTCTTTTCCTCGTCGAAGTGCTCTCCGCGGTTCCAAAAAAACATTTTACCCGATTAAATTTGCTGGGAAGAGGCAGGGCGCTAAGGGGGCAGATCGGGGCGGAGACGTGACTGTACCGTGCGTCCCAAAATACAGTGCTAGAATATGAAATGAACGTCGGCAGACCTCCTACGCAAATCCTGGCTGATATATATTCATGAGGAGGGCACAAGATGGGGTCGCTAACAACAACGCAGGGAATTCTGGGAAACGTGTTCGCTACAAAAAGAGTTCTCCTGAGGAAAACGATGCAAGAAATACGTTTCCCATGAGTCCTTTGTTCCTTTTCAGTTGAGCAGGGCGGTGAACTAAGGAGAGGCGTAAACATAGCTCCTATAAATGTTTGACATTAGCCTGAGGTAGTTGTACGCTTTAGCGTACTTTACTTGTTGCGTGAATCCTGTTTATAATGAAAATGAAAGCATAATTTGCGACAGCGAACTGCTATCTAAACTGTTAAAAAATGCACCCGTATTTTCTAATAATTCAATAAAAACAGCCTGTTTATTTAATTGTATTGCAAATAATTAACATTCGAATCCGTGGCTAAAATAAACTTGGTAGTGTTGTCGAGTTACTTGCGACTAGTGGTGGCGAGTGAAAGTACTTCGGCACCATCTCATCAGGACGCCATTTCACAAGGCCGCGGTTCAGATACTCTCATCTTGTTGTATCTGTTGCCATCTAGTGGGAAATATTTTGATTTTTTCCTCTAAATTCAGAAAAAAGCTATTAAGGCCTGAAGTACAATTTCAAAGATTGTTTTTTTTTGTTTTGTTTTTTGGTGAGTGTTGGTTGTATTGGTGCTTTTGTTTAACTTAAGAAACATAATTAAAACACCACTTTTAATACCGTTTTTTGTGCCACCATATAAGATTAAAAAGTTCAGAGTAGATAAAATCTGCTCTCACATTTTTAAATCCGCTTTTAAAAATATCCAGAGATTATTACATTTGTGTACTTTTATTGTCTCTTTGTACAATTTAACTATTGAATTTATTGTATGAGTTAAAATTTTCAGGCTGGGGAAATGAAACGATCTTCCATTTGGAACACATAATTTTGACCTGTTGTAATTTGCTAGGATTAAAGATTTATAGTTCACATCATACTTTACTATCCCGCAGAGTGTACGAGACCATTAACTTGGCAAACTAGATCTTGCATTTGCAACTTTTAAAGTAATACAGCATAAAAAAAGAATTAAAAAAATAAGCAAAAAGAATAAGTGCTGAAATACTGGCTTAGGGATCAGTTTATAATATAAATTAACTATGCACTATTTTCACATAAAATCTAAATGCTGTGCTTTGACGTTTTAGCTCAGTGGTTGCAACAAGCAAAACATGGAACACGTGGTAAAAATAATTTTGCAAGTCATTATGTACAGCAAATAATTTAACCCTCCCATTTATATCAGTGAACTAGGGGTTAAGACTACAAGAAAAATATATTAAAGCCTTGTTTCAAATCATTGACACCTGAATTGTCCCTGACCACATCTTCAGAATGCCTCAGGTATAAATCGGTAATTCTTTGAAATGCAAGCAGTGCCTAATGCCAGTGCTAATACCCTCCTTAGATGGTAATATTTAATCAATGTTTATTGATAATAAATATCCCATGTTATCTTTTCAATGTTATTTTAGTCAAAGCCCATTCTACTCTATGCTGCTGTGTCAAGTGCTCACATTTGTCAAAATCAGACATGCCATAACAAAGACACCCTTCAGATTTGAAAGATTCCTCACTTAATTTTTCAAGTTGAATCGGTAAGCATCTTTACTCCTTTACTGATGCAAATATCAGCTCTAGGTCATTAGATGTATGCCACTCATCAATTTTAGCATTAATGGAGGATGCAATTAGTTTGCAAGTTGCTTTTTGGAAATTAGCAATAGTATGCATAGAATGTATTACACAATTCAAAAGCACTTCATTAGTCCCAAAGGGAAAATAATGATAAAAAAGTACATTCAATCCCTGAAAGTAAGGCTTTTAAATATCTTAAAATGACAAGTCAAACTATTTAAATGCATTCAGAAATAGAATTTTATTGGCATGAAGTGTTCCTTACATGGTATTCTGCATTTCAGGAATTAAAAAACAAAACAAACAAACAAACAAAAAAAAGACTACTTTAAGTCACACCGCCAACTTGTTAAAGGAAACCGATTATTGCTGATATCATGTTCCTTGATTCCAGCAAAATGCCAAATCTCATGCTTGATCCACTGGCTCGGGTCAGGATATAACTTCAAAATAGTTGATGTTCATTTCTATAATGTTCAATTTTTCTGAACCTGCAAATATATATATATATATATATATATATATATATATATATATATATATATATATATATATATATATATATATATATATATATATATATATATATATTAAAAAAAAAGGGGACCTACTACAGTTCTGCAGAAAGTGAATTTAACATAAAACATCGCATGTGTGTGTAAGAACAGATGGCCTAATCAAATCAGAATTATTTTCCACTAAGTGGTATTGATAAGAGTGATGACTGGAACAACAATCCCTTTTCTGGCATACAAAACACATGCAGAACAAAGAAATGAAATGTTTTTTCATCCCCAGATATCATCAGTTCACCTAACACTGCGTAGGTTTTTAAAATAATACAGAACCCATGTTCCTTTACAGAGATGAGCCACAATAGGAACAGAGTCTAATCTAAGCTGCTGCTGAAAATTTCATTTGCAACTTTTAAAGTAATACAGCATAAAAAAGAATAATAAAAAAATAAGCAAAAAGAATAAGTGTTGAAATACTGGCTTAGGGATCAGTTTTAATAAAAACAAACAAAAAAAAAAGCTTACAAATCTGAAAACAATAACATAAAATAAGCTGAACTCTTAACAGTACAAAGTACATAAGCAGTAAAAGGTCTTCAAAATGGTCACTCAGAACAGGATTAAAGTTAGAGCCCGTTAAATACAGTGTGCATCGCAAGCCATAACACTTTCATTGCACCTTGTCCGAACGTGTTGGTAAAGCTATCCAGGCAGATTTTGCGTGGTCCTTTAAGGAAAAATTGCTCTGCAAAAACTCTGAAAGAAACATCCATATAAAACTAATCGTTAGACCCTGAAGACAGAAACGTGTCTGCACAGAAAAACGAAAAAGAAAAAAAAACATACAAATGTTGGGGGGAGAATTCATCTGAACCTCCTCTCTACAAAGGGTATTGCTTTGTTAAAAGCTTCAGGGACATGAGTACAAAATTAAAGTGTATATTACAGTGCACATTTTGAGCCAAGAGTAAACATACATAATCAAACAATACACATAAAAATAATAATAAAAAAAGAAAAATGTGGCAAGCAGTCACTTAATACTCTCTCCAAAGCGGTGGAATGCCTACAGCAATTTAAAGTAGGTGTTCATGGTTGAAGTGGTTCTATCTAAAACATAAAAATAAAAAAAAAACAAGATTGTTGTACACTAAAAATCAGAAAATTTCTGTGAGCTGCAAATTTAACTGTAAAATGCATAAGACATTGATAGAAGTTGTCTAAACAGGATTTTTTTATTCCTTAAATTTAACCTTCCTTCTCAAGTATCAACAAAATATACATCTGGAGAGAGTCTGGCAATCGTCCAGACTCTCAAATTCACAGTTAGCAATTAGATGTCAGCATTGCTGGTTACAGTTAGAATTGCACATATGGAGGAGCAGAATTAGGACTACATTTGACTCACCCAACTCCAGAGGGCGCTGTAGTCTGGGAAAAGCAGAAAGAAAGAAAAAATTGCACATGATTCTAATGCTGGAGGCTTTTCCTCCTTTATGTTTCTCTCTTAAAATCCCACCAGGAACAGTAAAGATGGAGTCTCTTCTCACTTAATCAGCTTGGAACAATTAACTCTCCATCCTCACTCAAGATTGTCCACAAGAGCTAAAAAGAGTTTGTAGTGACAGCCTAATGGAGAGGAGGGGATTAAAAACATGTCCACTGAGACAAGTCCACTGGTGTTGTTGATGAACCCAAGTAGGTTTGCCGCAAGTATCAATCAACTGCAAACGAGGACTCTTCGGCTGTCCAGTCTCCACACCACTGAGCGCCAGCCTGAGAGCTCAGCAGAGAGGTTTAAGAGACAGTTGAATGAGCCCCTTTTAGGGGCGATGTGCATTATCTAAAGTTGTTTTGTGCTACTATAAGGGACTGAACAGTGGCTGTCAGCATCTCGGTGTGCAGCGCTGACTCAGATGTGTAAATCCTGAAAAGGCATTTCAGAATACATGGCCTTATTGAAGAGACGGGCACCGTTTTACTGTCCAGCACTTAAGGTTCTCCAGATTGCTCGAGACAGTTGTGGTCTACTATGGTCTGTGAAACCTGTAACAACAAATAAAAAAAATGTTTTAGCTATTTTATTAAGACGATGCTTAAATTCATTACCTAAAACTACAAACATCACAAAGTAGAAAAAATTGAATAAAAGATATAACCCCAGTTAAAGTGGACAGAGAGCATCAGTTAACAGTAAGTCTTGACACAGCTTATCGGCTTTAGGACTGGACTTTAACTGGGCCCCTTTGTAACACTTTATCCTTTGATCTAATCCATTCTATTGTCGCTCTAGTCTTTTGTTAGAGGCAGCAAAAGACCACAGCCATATATATTTTCATCCAAGACTGTCCTGCATTTATCTTCAATCATCTCTCAGTCATCTTTGTTTGGCTGTTCTGTCTCAGCTGAAATAATAATAATAATAATAATAAAGCATCTCTGTAGATAGGTTCAGACCCGGTTGGTCAACATTTTTCACATTTGCTGCATCTCCTACATGGATTGTGGTCATTTAATTCCTTCTTACCACTCTTCTAGAAAGGGCAGATGTGTGAATTTCAAACAAATTCTCCCATCTGAGGTGTAGATCTGTAAGAGTAACCCTTAGCTGTTTCTCTGATTAATTAATTAACGTTTTGGCAGACAGCTATATCTTGGTGGGTTTGCAGTAGTGACCCAATCTTTCTCTTTTCAGACAATGGGACAAGCATGGTTGTGTGAAACTTCAAAAGCTTATTAGATGGTTTTGTAACCAAATCCAGCATCAAACAGCTCCTTTCACAAAATACTATGCTGAGATTACATTACACACAAGTGGAGTAT